CCCTTAAAGACCTGCAGATTTCTTCTCCCCACCCATTTCTTTTAAGAGAAGAACACTTTAATATTGAAATTATTGATCACATAAAAGCCCCAATCCAGCCATGAAAATTAATCATTTTGCTTTTTAAAAAAGCCATTATGTTTAACTTCTGAACAGGGGAAAAAGTTTTGCACAACTGTATTAGCAAAACAATATAACATAACCACTAAATTATTAATTAAACTAATAAAAATGTTTTAAAAGGGTTATGAGCTTTTCCTACAGCATGTTGCTAAATATTTTCATATTTTTGGTGCTCCAAAAGTAGACAAGATGGTGCACTGCAGATTGGAAGAAATCTAAAGAAACAAATTAAAATAAAACTTAGTTGGTGACAACTGGCATTAAGTTTCCCACTGAAATATTTAGAATCATTTCTCCCCTCCTCCATACTATCGAGAGCAGAATAGGATTGCATGGTTAAATAATAATAAATTCTGTACTTTCAGATAATGGGAAGTTAATGTGTGCCTGTTTATGTGCAGGAGAGGTCTGTAGTAGGAATTTAAAATACTTTGCTAATGTATCACAACTATCTTCTGACCTATATCCTCTAGAACAGGCTACTAAGTCAGTTATATATTTTTTTTCCTCAGGTGCTGTTATCTAGAAATAAAAACATGAAGAGGAATTTCAGTGACGGTTCTTTGATGCGTAGTACAGCAGGTATCCATCTTTTACTGGGCTGGAATTCGAAAGAGTTATTATAATTTTCAACCAATGACCAGCAAGATGAGTGGAGTGAGCAATATTATTTTAAGTTGCAATAGGGTTTTAGGTTGCAGTGCGTGGAAAAAAGGGGCCAAAACACTCCCCTATTAGGGAACATTTCTGTAATACAGGCAGTCCTTGACCTCCTGGGATTAGAATGTTCATTGCTAGGCAAGGGGATTGTTAAGCCAGCCATGCTTCATTTTATGACCCTTTTTTGCCATAGTTGTAATGGAATCACTGCAGTTGTGATGCAAATCACTGCATGTCAGTCGGTGCTCCATTCAAAATCCAAGAAAGAAATACTTAGACTCCATAAATTAGAGAAAAGAATTCTTTTACTGAAAAATGAAGTGGTAGCATCAAATAGGATTCTGAATCTGAGAAATTAGGCGTGCAGATCACATATACAAAGTGTTGGAAACGTTCCCACCCCTCATAGTTCAAATGATTCTTCCAATTAAAAGTTGTGAATATGATCATGTGGGCATCTTCAGGTGGTGATGAGGCCTCTGTCCGTTGACCTTGACATATTTTGATAAAGGTTTGCAGCTGGGCAGAGAAAAGAAAGCTAAGCGAGGAATAGAAACCTAAAAGCAGGAATTTATACTCCCCCCCCCTCCTCATTTACACCACAAAAAAAACACCACCCCCCCCCCCCTCTCCCCAAACAGGCCCCCCCCCCCCCCTCCCCCCCCGTTACTTATGGCAGCCAAAAGATGCAAGGCAATAGAAAAGATGCAAAGCAGTAATAGAAGATCTTGAAGGCTGACACTGCAGTTGTTAAGTGAGTCAGATGGTTGTTAAGCAAATTCAGCTTCCCCATTGAGTTTGCTTGTTGGAAGCTGGCTGGCAAGGTCACAAATGACATGATCCCTGGGATGCTGCAACTGCCATATATACCATGCTGGTTGCCGGGCATCCAAATTTTGATCACCTGACCCTGAGGATGTTGCAATAGTTGTAATGGTGAGGGATTGGTCATAAGTCATTCACTTGCTTTGTAACTATGAAAGGTCCCTAAATGAATGGTTATAAGTTGAGAACTACCTGTATTTCTCCCATTCTTCTCTTCCAGAATGAAATGGGGTGGAGTGGAATGGAATAGAATGGAATTAAGAATGGAATTGAATGGAATAGAAATAGAAATAGAAATAGGAACAGAATAGAATAAAGTGGAATGGAATAAAAATAGAAATTGGAACAGAATAGGATAGGATAGGATAGGATAGGATAGGATAGGATAGGATAGGATAGGATAGGATAGGATGGGATGGGATGGGATGGGATGGAATGGAATGAAATAGAAATAGGAACAGAATAGAACAGAATAAAATGGAATGGAATAGAATGGAATAGAAATAGGAACAGAATAGAA